GAAGGAGAGACCAAGGCAGGCCTTTGCATTAGCCATGGTGTTGAGAAGGCAGTTTGGGTAATTTTGTTTTCTTTCTTTCTTTTTTTTTTTTTTTTTGAGACAGAGTCTTGCTCTTGTTACCCAGGCTGGAATACAATAGCACAACCTTGGCTCACTGCAACCTCTGCCTCCGGGGTTCAAACGATTCTTCTGCCTCAGCCTCAGGAGTAGCTGGGACTACAAGTGTGTGCCACCACACACGGCTAATTCTTTGTATTTTTAGTAGTGATGGGGTTTCACCAGGTTGGCCAGGATGGTCTCAGACTCCTGACCTCAGGTAATCTACCAGCCTTGACCTCCCAAAGTGCTGGGATTACAGGCATAAGCCATCACACCTGGCCTGGGTAATTTTCTTCTATACCATCCCAGGTTTAAATTCTGGCCATTCTTGCATGTCTAGCTGAAATTCCACAGTCTGAATGAATTTTTTTGTCTCCACTTATAGGCACCTTACCATCCTCTGAATTTCTCAAGTACACTTTATATCTGTGTGGTCTGAGCAAATGGATCCCGTCTTTTTCCCTCAACCAGACCATCAGCTCTTTGAAGGCAGGGCTTTTGTTTCTGCTCTTTTGTGACTCCCTTTGTGCCCTCCCCCATTCCCTGCCCCACTCCACCTCGTACCAGGCACAGTAATAGGTACTCAATAAATATCATCATTAGTTGACTAAACAATCCCCTCCAGCCACATTCACCTGCCTGTGAGCTGGGTGACAGGCTACTTTATCATCTGTCCTTTATTCTTTATCACATGCTCCCTCCAAAATCAACATTCTAAGTGCTGTATTTCTGGGAGGCTCAGATATCATTTATTTTTTTTAAGGCTTTTAGCTCATTGTGCAGTGGAGGGACAAATTCTAGGCCAGACCTGTGGTCAGAGCAGATGCGTAGAGTGGTCTGTGATGCTCTCAATGCTCATTCCAGGATCAGCTGCTGATGGCTGTGTCATCTCTGCTGTAGGGCATAGAGAAGGGCTGTGTTCTGGCAGCTCTATAGGAAAAAAAAATTATTGCAGTCTCCGAGGTTTTCTCAGGCAGCAGAAGGTAGTAGCAGACAACCCAGATAGTCATGAGCTGTAGCTGTTTAGGAAAAAATATAGGTGAGTGAATGAAGGAATGAGTGGAAGGAAGGATGGATGAATGAATGAGATCACAAATGAACAGCATGCTGTAGTTTTTTTGAGACAGAGTCTCGCTCTTGTTACCCAGGCTGGAGTGCAATGGCATGACCTCGGCTCACTGCAACCTCTGCCTCCCAGGTTCAAGCGATTCTCCTGCCTCATCCTCCGGAGTAGCTGGGACTACAAGTGTGCGCCACCACAACCAGCTAATTTTTTATATTTTTAGTAGTGATGGAGTTTCATCAGGTTAGCCTCCTGGTCTCAAACCTGGATACATGGGGTTTGCATTCTAACATTTTCCTTGCTCTTTGTGTGACTTGGAAAAATTGCCTCATGTCTTCTCAGTTTCCTCTGTAAAGTGGGGCAAAAGTACATACTCCCCAGGGTGGTTGAGAAGATCAAAGGAGACAATGTTTGTGAAAGTACCTACTTCCTTTGAGGCTGTGTCTAACGCAGCCAGAGTGTCAGTGGATCGATCCACAAGACTGGGCGTGATGGGTATGTGTGTGTCTGTCCCGCACACGTGGGGTTTTAATTGACTGGGTTTTAATGTGGAAGGTGCTCACTGCATCCCGTCTCCCATAATGTGATGATCGCCAGCTATTTCAGATGGGGAAGGTGGTGTTCCTGTGGGCTGGGCTCGCACTGCAGCTGGAGTTTTAGAGATTCTGCATTCCTGGTGAGCTTGACTGTGTGAAGACTGATGGCGTTCTCTGGCCAGTGGCACCATCGCAGTTTGCCTGTGTGGGACAAGCAGGTGCCAATCTGATGAGCTCTGGGGTCTGGGTGGGGAGGTTTGGCCCAGCTGCCTGCAACAGCACTTAATTTGGGCAAGCCCAGCTGTTCCTCTCAAATGGAGACTTGCTGAGGGCGTACCTCATGTTCCAGGATTCCTGGGGAGCTGCTGGAGCTGGGGAGGGGTGTAGGTACCTGACCCAAGCTCCCACAGCTACTCTGTCCCTGTGACTTGAAGCTGCAAGCTTCCCCAGGGCTGAGGGCATGCTCTGCTGCTCTCTCTGTCTGAAGCCCCAGCTCTGCCTCCTGAGCAGATACCGTGTGGCTCTGAACCAGTGGCCTCATGCTTCTGAGCTTCACCCTCCTCGTTGGTAGAGAGAAGACAATGATACCTATCTGGAGAGATTGGTATAATGATTTAATGTTAATTACTGTTTATCGAGTACTTTCTAAGAGTACCAAACACTTTATAAGCACTTTACAAACGTGATTTCAACAGCAAACCTAAGAGAGAGGCAGTCTACCTGCCATTTCGCAGCTGAGGCAGCTGAAGCTCAGAGAGGTTAGGTAATTTGGGGCACACCACTGGTAGGTTGCAGAGCCGGTCCATACCAGCTATCTGCCTCTTTGCTGTCCTCAGGTTGCTTCCTGCAGTAAATGAGACGAGAGGCGAGGAGCACCCAGCCGGCAGTTGACTGGATCTGGATCTGACAGATCCCGAGGAATTTGCTGAGAGGTTGGTTGGGGCTTTCTAGGGACTGGAAAAAATGCGGATGGGATAGAGAGTAGATTAGTAAGCCTGGGACCATGCTTTCCAGCCTTCGTAGGGGAATCGTATAAGAGTCCGGGCTGTGGGGGATTTTTGGTAGCAGGCTGGTGACTCTTCTCCAGGTTCAGTCAGAGAGGGGAGGCAGGTGTTCTGCAAGTTTGTGAGAAGCTCTGCCGGCTCAGATCCCGATGTCACTGGATGTGCTGTGGGCTCCCTGTACTGTAGGGAACATTTGAGAAATGTTATACGGATGTGCTCCTGCCATTAGGGAGCGCCCAGTTGTCAGACATGGGCACACATGTGAGTGATTGGGAGCAGCAGCCAAGGCAGTGAGCAGTGTGGTGTGACGATCTGCAGGGCAGGCGGTTGCTGCAGGTGACTCATCAGGGAGGGCGTCCCGGAGTAGTTGGGGCTGCTGCCGAAGCATGGATAGAAGTGATCAGCAGAGGGATGGCAGCTGAGGTAGTGAGATACATAGAGAGGGGCCTTTCCAAATTTGGGCCAAGGGCTCATTGTATTATCTAACGTCTCCTTCACATTTTTAAGCATCCTCTGTTGGCCACTCTGATAGGAAGCTGCTAATACAGACAGTCCTGGGTCCCGCCTCCTGATGTCTTTCTGTCAAAGACAGGCAGGCTGGTGCCCTCTTATGTGAAATGTCACCTGCAAAGCATTCTATGAAGCTATAAGCAGCAGAGAAGGTTCTGATGCCTGTATTTTCCACCTTCTCCTTATACCAGGGCTACAGAGGGTCCTCAGAACAGAGGGTCCCTCTGGCTGAGAAACCTCAGATGTGGCTTTGCCAAATTCCTTCCTTCCTCCCGCCCCAGGGACACTCCCAATGGACAGGCAGAGCTGCCCCAGCCTGTCTCACCTGAGGCAAGGTGCCATGGAAGGGCTCGTGCTCTTAGCCCACTCTTCTTTCTCTGAGCTTGGCCTGCCCTCCTGGTTGGGCTAGAATTGAAAAACTGACTTTTCTCTCTGGAACAAATGGCAGTTTTATGGCTTAGGGTTTCAGCTGTCTGCAAGTCTCTGCATCCCCAGGCACAGAGAGGGCAGAGTCGGCTTGGCCCCGCCTTCCAAACCCGGAGGTGGGTGTTAGCACAACTCCCTCCAGCTGCCCCTGAGTTCACACAGGTGGCGGCTGCCTGCCGCGAGAGGACGTTGATGCCGCCACCATCTGCATCTCATTTCCCTGCTATGAACTTTGCAAACAACCTTTTTAATCATGTTTATGACCTCAGCATACATTTGCTGCAAGTTGAGTTCCCAGTGATGATGAAAAGCTTGGCTATACAGCCAGCAGATAGGGTTTCAAAATCTCAGCCTCACTGTGGATCCTTCTCCACCTTCTTCTCTTCCTTCCCTTCTCTTCCCTCCCCCTCTCATCCTCAAGAGGACTAGGATATTCCCTCATTTTCCCATGCTATTTGCGGTTTGCAAAGCACCTTTATCGCTTCTATAGAGAAGATGCTTTACCTCCACTTTACAGGTAGGAAAACTGAGGGTCAGAGAGGCCAAGTGATGTGTCCGAGGCTCCTGGTTAGAAGCAGCTGAGCTGAGCCTGGAACCCTGGTCCTGGGCCTGCCTCCTCTGCTGCCCTCACTCTGCTGGCAGCCGTGGTCTGGCTGGCATGACAAACATCCTTCCTGGCATCTCTCAGCCCTCTCCTGCCCCCCCGCCCCCCGTGGGACATAGTGGGCTGATTAATCTGCGGCCGCCAGGGGCCAACCTGCCTTGTGCTGAATTGTGGCCTGTGGCTTTTATTTGTTCCCACGATGCCCTTTGTGACTGTCATTGAGTTTCTCAGGGCTGGCTCCTTCTTCTTGGCTAGCCAGGAAAACCGAACCCAAGATGGTGCTCTTCCCCAGAAAACTCCCCCACGTCTCATGGGGAGAGCCCTGGCTGGGAGTCGGGACTCCTGGGTTTAGATCCCAAGGCCAACTAGCCTATATTCCCTGTTTCAGGGTAAAATCCCATGCCCTCATTTCCCCACTCAAAAATGGGGGGTTACCTCTCCGAAGCCCAGTCCCTAGTGGGGCAGCATGAGTGTCCATTGGGAGAGTTAGCAGGGGTCGTCCAGAGCAGTAGACACACTGCTTAGTGCTTCACTCTTTCACCCACGGGTGTGCTGGCTGTGCATGGTAGACATGAGTGGCTGGAGGGACTGGCCCAGTGTCTGTACAGCATCTTCACCCCCAAGCTGTTTCCTTGCTTCAGGTTATCTCCCAAAGGAGGTCAGGTGGTTGTCTTCTCAGCCCGGAGAGGACAGGCCAGCCATGTCCTGCCATACAGGCACCCAGTGTGGCAGGACATGGCTGGCATTAGACCTGAGGGCACCCTGATTTGTCCCTCCATCCTGCCTTCTGATTTCCAGGCCTGACTCCATCATCCTGGAAGAGGAAAGGGCGAGCACACTCTCCTCCCTCATGAAAAAGAAGGAGAAAGGCAAGGCACGGAGGGTGCCGGTGGAAAGAGAGTGGCGGGGCTGTATTCACATTCTTGCTTGGAACGCAGGGCAGGAGGCTGGCTGTCTGGGATGTGGCCCCCGTCTGAGCCAGGCCTGTCTGTGCATGCTGCATGACTGCCACCTCTATTGTCTGTGAAAAGCACACACTGTACACCTGTGCAGAGGGGACATGCTCTGTTGGTCCTAATTTTTACTGTCATTAATATGATCATCATGGCATCTCTATTCCCATTTCCCCAGCCCTCCGTGGGGAGGAGTGTCTGCCAGGCAGCCACCACATCCCCGCTCTGCTGCCTGAGGTGGATCCCAGCAAACAGGCTCCGAGGAAGGGGCTCTCCTTTTTTGCCTTTTAGAAGTAGCAGCAGAAGTGACTTCTGGACACCTCTTTGCTGGCTCTGCTGGGCTTTCATGTGGTGTGAACTGGGTAGGGGTTAGTTGCATAGGTGCAGACAGTGGCATTGCTGGGGCTGAAACCCAGGAGTCCTGTTCCTGGTCTGCTCTCCTGGACTTGGTCTTCTTGGAGGGTCATCAGAGCTTGTGACAGGCTCTTGACAGGGAGGATGAGGAAGAGGGAGAAAAGCAAGGGGCTGAGTGGGGGTGAGGAAAACAGCCAAGGGTATGAACATTTTGAAATGGAATAAAGGCAAAAGAATGCTGGCTACAGGGGAGGAACAGGGAGGGCATCACTGACAGGCACAGAGAAGTGTGACAAAGAGGGACAGGCACCATGGCCTTACATAGTCCCCTGTTCCTATTACTCCCCTTTTTCCTCTTAGCTTTTTTGTGTGGAAATTTTTAAACATGCACAAAAATATGGTGAATAATGTAGTGAACTCTCGTGTAACCCTCACCTGGCTGCCACATTCTACTGTGACTTTATTCCATCTGCTCTCACTCCTTTCTTTCCCTCCTGGAACATTTTCTTTATTTGAGCTGAGGTCTGATTCTGTGGCCCAGGCTGGAGTGCAGTGGAGCGATCTTGGCTCACTGCAACTTCCGCCTCCTTGGTTCAAGCAATTCTTATGTCTCAGCCTCCCAAGTAGCTGGGATTACAGGTGCACGCCACCACACCCGACTAATTTTTGTATTTTTAGCAGAGATGGGTTTCACCATGTTGGCCAGACTTGTCTGGAACTCCTGAGCTCAAGTGACCTGCCAGCCTCCTGGAGCATTTAAAGCAGTTCGCAGACATCCTGCCATTTTACCCACAGCTACTTTTCCAACTCTTCAAGGAATATGTTTGCAGGTTAGGGGGAATGTGAGTCATGAGGACAGGGTGGGAGAGTGTGGGGTCAGGTGGAGGAGCAGCCTGAGAGCATGGTGGTCGCTGGGACAGTGGGCAGCTGGTGGGGAACTCCGCTCCGAGGGAGCACCAGCAGTAGCTGTTAGCAATCGAGTTCTTGTATGGGCCAGGCGTTGCTCTGGGCACTTCACACGCTTCACTTCACTTAATCCTCATGACAATCTATGAGGACGATTCTGTCCTCATTCCTGTTTTATGGATGTGGAATAACATGCTCAGACAGGTTAGGTGACAGGCCGGAACTCACACAGCCGGGCAGTAGTGAGGAAACCGGGATCCGAATCCAGGTCTCACGGCTCTGAGGTCCGCGCTCTTTTCTGTTGTTACCTCTGAGGGGTGTTAAGAGAGGGGAGGCATCAGAATTGCTTTTCTACTTGGCCCCTTTGTGGCTTTTGGAGTAGCCCATGGTTCTGACTGTGAGAGGGGTCTTCCTTGCCTGTTGAAAGGCTTGTTTTCTTATTTAAAGTGTGTGTATGTATAGCTATACTTAGAGACAGAGTCTCACTCTGTCACCCACCCAGGCTGGAGTGCAGTGGTAACTCACTGTAACCTCAACCTCCTGGGCTCAAGTGACCCTCCCGCCTCAGCCTGTGTAGCTAGTACTACAGGTGCTGGGACTGTTATTAGTCACAATGCCTGACTAATTTAAAAAAAGAAAATTTTTTTTTTGAGAAGGAGTTTTGCTCTTGCTGCCGAGGCTGGAGTGCAATGGCATGATCTCAGCTCACTGCAACCTCCGCCCCCTGGGTTTAAGTGATTCTCCTGCCTCAGCCTCTGGACTGGGATTACAGGCATGTGCCACCACACCCAGCTAATTTTGTATTTTTAGTAGAGACAGAGTTTCTCCATGTTGGTCAGGCTGGTCTCCAACTCCAGACCTCAGGTGATCTGCCCTCCTCAGCCTCCCAAAGTGCTGGGATTACAGGCTTGAGCCACTGTGCCCGGCCCTTTTAAAAAAAAGTTTTAGAGACAGAGTTTCATTATGTTGCCTAGGCTAGTCTCAAACTCCTGGCCTTAAGGGACCCTCCCACCTCAGCCTCCCAAAGTGCTGAGATTGTATTTAGGATCAAAGTGAGTCTTTAATCTTCTCTTCACCAGGTGGGGCCTCTCCCTACATCTGTCCCCCCGTGCCTGTGTCTGGCTGGGTGGACTCACCTGTTCCTGAGTTGGTGGGGGCGGTGCTGAGGAATGGTGCTTTCTTCTGGTGGGAAGTGAGTAGGCACAGAGGCCCCGGGCTTCCTGGTATCAGCCAGCTCTCATTTTCGGAGGAATATACACTCTCCACTGCCAGCCCTTGGAGAAGAGAGGAAAGAGGGATCTAAGCCACGACGCTGCTCTCTGTGTCTTGGCATTTCTCTGAATGACTTTCTTCCCTCAGCCAGAGCCAGCCACCACCGAGAGCACCAGTCTTTTCCCTGGTGGGCCGTTCTAGTCCCCCCACCCTGCAGCATCTCCCTTTTCCCCAGCTGTGCATTAGGACAGACCCTCTTACAAAGCAGGAGGGGCGTCAGCCAGCCAGCCTCCTGCCGCCTTCAGCATATGGGGATGCTGAGCTCACCCCTGGTTTCCTGAGGAGGAAAAGCCAGGGTCTCTGGGTCCAGTTCTGACTTCCCATGATCAGCCCTCAGAGGATGAGGCTCCCTGTAAAGTGTACTCGACGGGAAGACTGACAGGGGCGCTCTTGGATGCCACACTGGACTCGAGTGTCCTAACATACAGCTCAGTATCACTGGTGTCTTCGTCCTCCCTCCTCTCTGGAATGGGAGTGCTGCATCCTCCACTCTTCAGTAATGTCCCGTGTGGTCATTGCTGCCTCCTGCTGAGTCCCCTCGGGTGTGTGGCCGTGTGCACCTGCCTCCCCTGTGCCATCCTCACCTGATTCTCATGGGACCCTAGAAGGAAGTGACAACTGTTTCATTTTATAGTTCCACGGCAGATGACATCCAGGGTAAGAGCGGTTAAATTACTTTGTCAAGGTCACATGGCTGGTCCATGAGGGAGAAGACGTTTAAACCCAGGGCTGTCTGGCTTCAAATCTCCACTCCTCATGCCACGCCAGCCTGTCTTTAGTGCGCTGTGGTATTAAACACGAGCACAGGGTTAACTGCTGTTAATGTGTGTTTTGTATATTACAGCAATAACATTAAGATGGCAAGGAAGTTTCAGAGTTGTGGCTTGCTCGCTGTTGCTGTAACTAGGTTTGTATGAGAAATATTAGTGATCAATAAACATGAGAAGGAACACAACATCACTAGTAATCAAAGAAATTCAAATTATGGCAACAATAGTATTCTATTCTTGCCTTTCTTTTTTCTTCATTATTATTATTATACAGACAGGATCTACCTTGTTGCCCAGGCTGGAGTGCTGTGGTGCAATCACAGCTACTGCAGGCTCAAATTCCCGGCCTCAGGTGATTCTTCTGTCTCAGCCTCCCTACTAGCTGGGACTATACAGGTGCACACCATCTCGATTTCCAACTGCACAGGTTTTTTAAGCTGATAATTGCTAATATGATACAGCCCTTTACTCCAGCACTGGTGGAGTATAACATGTCAAAACCTTTGAGGAAAACTGCTTTGCAGAGAGTATGAAAAGCCTTCAGAACTAAGGCTAAGGGTACTAAAGGTCTATCCTCAGACCAGTGACTGCACTTCTAAAACTCCATGCTAAGAAAACAATAAGAAAAGCTATCAAATATTTTATGTGTTAAAGTGCTCATTAAGGAGCAAATATCTTACATTAGGGGAACATTTTATTTACTTTAAATTTTTTGGGACAGAGTCTCACAACATTGCCCAAGCTGGAGGGCAATGGCGTGATCTCAGCTTACTGCAAATTCCACCTCCCATGTTCAAGTGATTCTCCTTCCCCAGCCTCCTGAGTAGCCGGGATTACATGTGCACACAACCACACCCAGTCAATTTTCGTGTCTTTAGTAGGGACAAGGTTTCACCATGTTGGCCAGGGTGGTCTCGAACTCCTGACCTCATGATCCACCCACCTTGGCCTCCCAAAGTGCTGGGATTACAGGAGTGAGCCACGGTGCTGGCCCATTAGGGGAACATTTTAGGTAACGTATGATGTGTGCATGGATGAGTGGGTTTGGGAAGCTGTTCAATGATACAGGGAAAATGTTCTCAGTGCATTATGAAGTTTACATAATATGTATGTACGTATAATTATGTATTACCAACATGCATGCCTTAAAGTTGGCTCTTTTTATTTATTTATTTTTTGAGTCAGGGTCTGGCTCTGTGGCCCAGGCTGGAGAGCAGTGGCACCACTTCGGCTCACTGCAACCTCAACCTCCTGGGCTCAAGTGATCCTCCAACCTCTGCCTCCCTAGTAGCTGGGCTTACAGGTGTGCGCCACCATGCCTAGCTAATTTTTGCAGAGACAGGTTTCGCCATGTTGTCCCAGGCTTGTCTCAGACTCCTGGGCTTCACCTGCCACAGCCTTCCGGAGTGCTGGGATTATAGGCATGAGCCATGACTCCTAGCTTTAAGTTTTCTCTTTTTGGTGTACAGTTCTTGGAGTTTTGAAAAACACATACATTTGCAGATGCGTCAATGTAATTTCAAGTGAGAAAAAATAGAATACAGTATGTTCCTAAGTTTTGAAAACATATGTTTTCTTCATATGGCCGGAAGGACAGCACTAAAGAGTGATCAAACTAAGTGGCCCTGGAGAAATGGTGTGCATAATTTTAAACATTTTCCTTCTGGGCCTCAGTTTTTTCCCTGAGATACCATGAGTGCCCCTCAGCCCTGCTGTAGTCAGTAGGGTGGGTGTGGGCTCCAGGCCATGATAGGTGCTGCCTATGGGCGGGGACCCTGGCCTGCCAGTGAGCCCAGTGGGGCTGGGAGGTGGCAGGGCCTGGCCAGCCTGGGGCTCTGGTGTGTGTCCCTTAGCTCAGTACTGAATGAAATGTTGCCAGCTGGGGCTGTGTCCTGGCTGATGAGCAGTGGAGGGCAAAGTCCTGTCCCTGCACCCTCCTCACCGTCGCTGCCAGGCAGCTTATTCAGAGCTGGGGCCCCAGGAGGCAGGGGGCTCCTCGAGAAGGAGAAGTCTCCCTCTTCTTCTGGGTGGGGTCAGCTAATCAGGGGAGCAAACATTCTTCCGCCCAGCCCTCTTGCCTTCTGCCTCCTCTGGTTCCCGAGGCCGGCTTCGTGGATCCCCCTCTCAGGGCTTCCTTGGGCCCATGAAGGTGGCATTATTCTTTGTTCCCAGTAGGGAGAAGCCTTCGTGTGTAGTTGGTCAAGCATCTAGAAGTTGCTCTTTCAAAGTCACTAGCTGGGGTGGGGAGGGGATGGGCTGTTTTAGGACAAGGGGGACCTTGCCAGCAGCCTGGGAGGAGCTCTGCTACGTGCCCTGCTCTAGGTTGTTGTGGTCATGGCCCAGGCCCTGGACATGCCTTCTGTCCAATACCTGCAGCCCTGGGATTCCACCCAGCCTGCCCCCTCTCCCTCCTCCATTCACCAGTGAGCATAGCTCCCATTCTGTAGATAAGGAGCAACCACGTAGACATGCCACACGACCTGCCCAAACTCCCATGGCCAGTTCCGGAAAGAGCCCAGAGTAGAGTCTGGGTGCCCCGATGGCCAGGAGTTTTCTTTCCCCTTTGCCTGCCAGCGGAGGACATAACAAATGAACAAGGGGCTCCAGCACTCACTGGGCTTGACCCAGGCTGGGAGCCTTTCCCTCTACGGCGGCTGCACCCATGCCTCATACACTTCCCCAACTGTGCAGAAGTGAACTGCGGGCCTGTCTTAAAGGGACCCTGAGGCAGGGCATTCAGCCAGGATCTCTGTGGGAGAACTGGGTCCCCAGAGGCCTCCTAGCACAGCCTCTGAATCAACCTGAGAAAGCTAGGGTGTGGGTGGTATATTTGGGGAAATGAAAGAGGCTATCATCGATGAGCCTTAAAAACCAAACCAGAAAAAATAACTGAATACAAAGGCATGCATGCAAGCTTGTCATAAGGATGCTTGTTTCTCATGAGGTTTTTTTTTTATTTGAGGCGGAGTTTTACTCTTGTTGCCCAGGCTGGAGTGCAGTGGCACGATCTCGGCTCACCCGTAACCTCCACCTCCCAGATTCAAGCAATTCTCCTGCCTCAGCCTCCCAAGTAACTGGGATTATAGGCATGCACCACCACGCCAGCTAATTTTGTATTTTTAGTAGAGATGGGGTTTCACCATGTTGGTCAGGCTGGTCTCGAACTCCTGACCTCGTGATTAGCCCACCTTGGCCTCCCAAAGTGCTGGGATTATAGACGTGAGCCACCACGCCCCGCCTCTCATGAGTTTTTCCACCTTCTTCCTTATTGAGAGTGACTGCACAGTGGCTGATTTCCATGTCTTCTTGTCTGTTGGGCTCAGCCATCATGTGGTGATGACCCTACTGACATCATGGCTACTGTTTGTGGTGCATCTCTCATAGGCAGGTGTGGAGCAGGGTGCTTTACCACCTCACTGAATTTCCCATACAACTCCAGATGTGGGGCTCCTGTCTGTTGTTCCTTGTTTTGCACATAAGGGGGCTCAGAGAAGTAACTTGTTTGGGTTTCGCAGCAGTTTGTGGGGCACCAGCTCTGCCTGACTCGAGGCCCTCACTCTTCTCACAGGGCTGCACTGGTCCCTTCATCCCCACGTGGCTGAGCCCTGAGTCTGAGAGATAGAGCTGTTGGCTGAGCAGCTCAGTGTGCGCCCAGATCACAACACAGGGGAGAAGCAGCCGGGCTTCGGCCCCTCCACTGTCACCCTCCTGGCTCCCTTTCCATGGGCTGGCCTTGCCTGGGTTTGACTGAGCAGGGCAGTGAAGGCCCTGTTGGTTTCCTCTTTCCTCTGAAACGAGGTGTTGGGCAGATGGAGAGCCCGAGCCAGGTGCCAGTAATGGGTGGCAGAGGGGCGCAAGGAGACTGAGCTAGCTCAAGGGCACCGCCTCTGAGAAGCCAGCTCTGATTGCGCTGTCCTGAGGCTTCCCTGTGTCACAGGCCCTCTCGCTCTGCACTCCTGGGAAGCAAGGGCTTACCAGTGGCCTTAGCTGTCGGTCATAAGCTCTCTGGTGCCTGGCACCTGGGGCGAGGCTGTCCTTTCAGCTGGCCCCTTGGGACTGCTGGGTTAAGTGTTAGCAGCAGGGCCTGTCTGGGGGTGCCTTGCCCCCACAGTGCACTCCCAGGTGGAGGCACTTATATGATGCTGGTTTCCACCCCAACAGCCTGTGCAGAGGCAGGGAGATGGCTGTGTGTGTGACTTAGGCTTCTTGACCCAGGCGCCTGTCCCTTCCCCCAGAGACCGTCAGCCACATGGACTCTGGTCCTTTCGAGTAGGCAAGTCCAGGCTGACCTCATCCTCTTCCTGGGCCTCCTTTTCTTTCCCTGAACTTCCAAAGCCCCTCAAGCATTTCCTCAAAGCCTGTGGACATCTGGGGAGGTGAGGAGGGTGGAAGCCCCACCCACGACCTCTGTGCCCCAGTGGGCAGGAGGGCAGGTCGGTCTCTGCCAGCCACAGCCCTGGAGCTAGGTCCCAGCCCTCCCCTGATGGCCTGAGGTGCACAGGTAGGAGGAGCAGAGGCAGCTGGCGATGGGGACTGGGGCCTCTGAGGAGTAGCCTGCAGTTCTCCTTTGGGATAACATGCTTTTCAGTCATCTCCCACCCCACCAGACCCTGCGCTCACAGACAGCAAGTGCCGGGTGGCAGCAGGTCCTGCCAGATGGCAAGGCCCCAGCATTCCCAGAACCAGGACCGCATGGTGGCTGGTCTCTTTAGTCACAGTGTGAGATTGGATAAGGTGGGCATTGGCTCACAGGGGCCAGTTCCTGCTGGAGCTCGGTAGCAGGGAATGGAGGGTGTGTGGTTGACTAGGCTTGCACCACCCCAGCCAGGCCCGGGAAACGATTCCTGTGGAGTCTGGAGTCTCGGAGGCTTCCTTGCTAGGGCTCTCTCCTCCCCATCCCCTCCTGGGGCAGTTGACCCAGTCTCATCTCTCAGCATAGAGCAGCCTTCGGTGGGAGCTTGGGGGCCTCTCTGCCATTCTCTCTCCCTCTCTCTACCTTTCTTCTTGGCCCTAAGAAGAAGGACATTGGGTTTTTCCAAGGATTCTGGTGGCTCAGCTCACCTAGGTGCTCGGTGCTCCTGGGAAGAAGAGGAAACACCACCTGCGCTCCCTCCAGCCTAGGCAGGTGTGTTCCCTCTGCTGCTCGTGGGCAGCGCCTGGTTCTGGAGCTCAGCACACACAAGGGCAGGGCTGGCTTAAAGGTTTTCATTTTAAATCCCTTAAAACTAAAGGATTTGGCCAGGCGCAGTGGCTCACGCCTATAATTCCAGCACTTTGAAAGGCTGAGGCAGGCGGATCACGAGGTCAAGAGATTGAGACCATCCTGGCCAACATGGTGAAACCCCGTCTCTACTAAGAATACAAAAATTAGCTGGGTGTGGTGGTGTGCACCTGTAATCCCAGCTACTTGGGAGGCTGAGGCAGGAGAATTGCTTAAACCTGGGAGACGAAGGTTACAGTGAGCTGAGATCGGGCTACTGTACTTCAGCCTGGCGACAGAGTGAGACTCCGTCTCAAAAACAAAACAAAACAAAACAAACAAGAAAACCTAAAGGGTTTTAAGAAAATTAAATTTTCTTTAATTTCTCTGAAGGAAGGAGGCCCACCCATGCTAGATAGGCAGTTCCATCAGGCACTGATGGTAGGGGCCGTCTGTGGCGGTCAGGAGCGCCCCCACATGCCTGCTCCCCTCCACGGCACACTGTGGCTCTCCCACGAGTTTATCTGAGTTCTCCTGGTCTCAGCCATGTTTTATCCTGTGTTGCCTGCATGGTAAGGAGCCTGTGCCTTTGTCTACTGTGTAAAAATCAACTGCTCTCTATTTGTCCTCAGATCATTCTTCCGAGCTTCACGGGATGCCTGGGGGTCTGTTTCAGGATCTTAGACAGGTCTGTGGCGGTTCTCTTCACTGTCCTTGGTGATTTTGCAGACTTGATCCAATGCCGTCAGGCCTGTTTTTCCAGAATGGGGTTCCTGGCTTTTTAGTATTCACCCGTGATGTCTCATTCATGTCTTACTATTTCCTGTGCCTCTTGGGTGTCTGGTATGTTTCATGTGTCAGAGTGAGTCTCCCCAGTAGAGCTGGGGCACCCTGAAGGCAGGGCCATGGAAGGGTGAATAATGCACATACAGGCAGACCTTCCCACCACACAGATAGACGCAGAAGCTCTGTCTCTGCTCCCATTCTAGTCCCAGCTGAGCCACGCTGAGGTCAGCTCCTCAGTGGCCACAGACATTGTCTGTCCCAGGATGGCTCAAGGCGCCAGGTCTGTGACACCAGAACCCTTTCCTGCTCTGTGACAGGAGTGTTGGAGGTGTGCAAAGCTGGGCTCTTGGACTTTGGTGTTACTGTTGGCTGCCAGGCTGCCAGGTTAGTGGACATGTTAGGGACAGCAGCCCTGAAGAAGGGCCTTGGACACTGGAAGAGACCGAGGTGATAGGGTGGCCTATGGGGACGACTGGGCTCTCTTCCATGCACTGCCTCGTCCCTGTCTGCCTCCCCTCCCTTCCCTGCTCCCTTTCTTCCTCGTCGTTCTCTTCTTCCTTCCCTGCTGCACTTTGGCAGTTACCTCGGTTGCAGGCATGCCCTCCCGCCACCCCATCTCCAGGAGACAGCTCTGAAGAAATGCCTGATTGTTGGCTTCATACTGTCATGGGTTACTTGGAGGCTGGGGCATTTCTGACATCAAACACTGTCTTTTCCTTCTTTCTTTTTCTTTTTTTCTTTTTTTTTTTTTTTTTTTTTTTGAGATGGAGTCTTCCTCTGTTGCCAAGCTGGAGTGCAGTGGCATGATCTCGCCTCTCTGCAACTTCTGCCTCCCAGGTTCAAGCGATTCTCCTGCCTCAGCCTCCTGAGTAGCTGGGACTGCAGATCCTCACCACCATGCCTGGCTAATTTTTTGTAACTTTTAGTAGAGACGGGGTTTCACCATTTCGGCCAGAATGGTCTTGATCTTCTGACCTCGTGATCCACCCGCCTCTGCCTCCCAAAATGCTGGGATTAAAGGCGTGAGCCACCGCACCCGGCCCAAAGGCTGTCTTTAGAGATAGTCAGAGAGCATTGGTGGCATGCAGAACCACAGAAGAGACCACCTCCAGGACTAAGGAAGGGGACCGTCAGTGTGCACCTGCTGTGTGACACACGCTGTCCACAGAGCCCAGCATCTGGCAGCACAGGGAGCTGGGTGCTGTGGGCTTCCCAGCAATGAGGTACCTTGGAGATGAAACCCCGTGGGCTGTGACACCCTCCCTGGTGTGTGTGAGTACCGTGGGGTCTGAAGGAGGAGGAGGCAGGGTTGAGGGCTCTGAGTGGCTGATCTTGACAGATGATGGATGTGTCTGAGAGGTGAGAAGAAAGTTGGTTCTTAAAAATGAAGTTTATTTGGGCCAGGCACAGTGGCTCATGCCTATAATCCCTGTACTTTGGGAGGCCAAGGCAGATAGATCACTTGAGGTCAGGAGTTAAAGACCAGCTTGGCCAACATGGTGAAACCCTATCTCTACTAAAAATACAAACATTAGCCAGGTGTGGTGGCATGTACCTGTCATCCCAGTGACTCAGGAGGCTGAGGAAGGAGAATCACTTTAACCCACGAGGTGGAGGTTGCAGCGAGCCAAAGTTGTGCCACTGCACTCCAGCCTAGGCAACGAGAGCAAAACTCCATCTCAAAAATAAAAAAGCTTATTTCATTATAAAACTAGCACATAGTCATCGAAGAGTACTGGAAAGAATAGAGAGGCACAAAAATAGCATAAATTAAAACCATTTATGACGCCTTCATCCAGGGGTAACCAGCATTCATCTTTTGTTGAGTTTCCTAGGCATGCTGGGGAGGTTCTTTCTTTCATTGCACCTTTAGCTTAAAGGACACCTTTACTTTACACAGAGGACGGCGGGTTCTCAGCCCTCCTGCCTCTGACCGTCAGTACCAGCTGACCACCCCTGGATGCTGGGCAGCCCATCAATGCCATGCTTGAGCTCAGAACTGGGAGGGGAGGCCAACCTGGAAAGGGGACCCGGAGCTGCTAGTGCAATGTGGGAGCAAACAGTGAGATGAGGCTGGGATGAAAGCTCACAGGACAACCTCCCTAGAGCGGAGGCCTGGCAGGGGGCCAGGTACTTTCCACACAGACTTCTCATGGCAAGGAGCTCACCACTGAGCCGCTGTGTTGGCCAGCTCTGGGTCCCTGGCTGAGTGAAGTTGAGGGATCTGTTTTTACCTTGTAGGTTCTAGCACTTGGTCTCTGCTCTGGCCCCCAGAGCCTCATGGAATAAGCCCTGACACTGTAAACCTGGCCATCCCTCTCACACTTAAAACTCTGCATTATAGGCTCATGCCTATAATCCCAGCACTTTGGGAGACTGAGGTGGGCGGATCACCTGAGGTTGGGAGTTCCACACTAGTCTGACCAACATGGAGAAACCTTGTCTTTACTAAAAATACAAAATTAGCCGGGTGTAGTGGCGCATGCCTGTAATCCCAGCTACTCGGGAGGCTGAGGCAGGAGAATCATTTGAACCTGGGAGGCGGAGGTTGTGGTGAGCCAAGATTGTGTCCAGCCTGGGCAACAAGAGCAAAAACTCTGTCTCAAAAAAATGAACAAAAACACTGCATTATTCTGTGTTCCTTGCCATGTCCCTCAAGTCCTCTCAGGCCAGGCACCTCTGGTTCCCTCCCAGTTCCTGTGGGGAATATGATTTCCACACGCCCTGGTGCTGGTACAGACAGCGAGAGGTGGAGCCTGTAGCCAGGCTTTGTGGAGTGGGTGAGACTGGAATGGCGTTTGGAGGGCCTGATGAAGGCAGTGAGATAGGGAAGCACATTCCAGGCCAGGGAATGGCACAGGAATGGCCGTTCATCCATGGCAGGTGTATGCACAGGCCTGTGTGAGCGGGGCTTACCCTGGAGCCAGGGAGAAATCTCAGCCCCTGGACTCCCCCAGCCCTATGCCCTTATTTAGCCATTCCTGCTCTCCCAGGGCTGTGGGGGTGGGGACAGAGCCCCCCCCGCCCCGATGTACACTTGTAGGGAGCCTGCCACTAACTGGGTCCTGACCGATTCTGCAGGATCCTTTTTTCACCATGGCTAGAGGCAGCTGCTGATTTGGGACACTGTTCCTCATCCAGCATCTCACAGTGTGCAACCAAAACAGAACCCTCCTGTTTGCCAAGGGCATGGGTATTGGATAGCAGCGCTCACCTGCTTGAGCCACTGGTATGAGGTGAAATGGAATAGAGCATTGGGAGCACCCAGCGCAGAGCCTGGAACACAGGGCTGGTTCTGTCAAGGGCAGTGGTGGTGGTGATGTCATCCCCTTGAAGCACAGGCTGGGCAGAGCCCGCTTCTCTGCCAGGCCCAGTCTTGCATTCTTGGGAGCAGGTGCTGACTGCCTTCAAGGCTCCAGTGTCTTTTCCCAGCCTTTTCAATGCTCAGACGCCCTCTTCCTGCCCTCGCCCCTGCTCTTCCCACATTCTCAAAGCTGAGGGAGTCTCCTTACTCTAGAGATAAGGAGCAGGGAGCGAGAACTGCCTACAAGTCAGCAGAGAACTGGACACAGGTGCCTAGCCTTGCCCCGGCTCCTGGGTCAGGCCTGCAGGTGCCTTCTACACAAACCTTGTGCCTTAGTGCCAGGTTTTCAGCTAAATGCTCAACACAGTCCTTCACCGAAAACAGAGCTGAAATGAATGGCTGTTGGCTTCTGTCTTGTCCATTCTGATGATGATGATGACGACAGCATCCAGTGCCTGGAGAACATTCACTAGGCACCAGGCACTGTTTCAAGGGCTTTTCATATGTAAACTTGTTTTTGCTTTGTGATGACCTTGCGGGGATACTCTTAATAAACCCATTAAACATATACGAGAAATGAGTCGCAGATGAACTTGGAGTCGCCAAGGGCTCTGTTTACACGTATGCCTCCCCGCCATCCTGTCCTTAAAATAGTGATTCCATGTCAGTTTTCTTTAATGGTCCATGAGTGATGGGCAGCATGTGGCACAGTTTCATGTGGACATTTCTCTCTGGTTTGTGACCACTGCATGGGGTGGATGCATCATGCACGGTATGTGTTGACTGTTGAGTGAAATGTATTTGTTGGTTTCCAGGGGACGGGAGAGGTGGAGGAGCAGCTGCCCCGCCACCCAGAGAGCTGCTCTGATGCCAGCCTCCCCATCCTGGGGGTTCCCTGCTACAGTCTTCAACTCCCCTCTGTCCCCCAGAGGCCGAAATAGCGGTGCACAGTCAGGAGAGACAATGAGGATCAAGGCACGTACGTGGCTGGGCTGGAGGGCTGATAGTGCAGGGACAGTCAGCCTTGAGTCCTCCAGCCTGGCTCTGTCTGTCCCACCAGCTCCGGGCTTTTTATAAAGAGGCAGTGTTAGGTGAGCCCGAATTAGCTGTGCATGGACCTCATCTGACTGTGGCATGCGGACCCTTTGCAGAGGTTGTCTAAGGAGATGGGGAGCCAGGGCTGACCTGGGTTTGAATCTCCCCAGCAGCTGACTGGCCCTGCCCATGGCCACATCATGTAATGGGAATAGCTGACGAGGGCAGCTGATAAAGGAGCCCCACCCAGCTGTGTTAAACTTTTCTCTAGTGCTTTCTTCCCTCTCAAGCCTCTGCCACCCCAAAGCAGGTGGCCTGTGTAAGCTGGTATAGGGAGGACAGCACAGGGGCCTGTGTGAGTTTCATGGACCCACCGATGGGGTTTCCTTTTTTGTTTTGGTGGCACAGAGGTCCTGTGCAGATGTGAGCAGCGTGACGGAGTCCCTGAGGCCAAGGCCATAGGCCTGGTGCCTGGCACGTGCTGTGATGGGAGGTGTCTGGCTCCCCGCAGAGACTGAGTGGTTGTGAGGAGCTGATGTCAGGCTGAGGTGAGAGTTGCCTGTCATGTGATCGTGGATTTTGGGAGTGCCTTGGCTAGGGCTGGGAGGGGTGGAAGTGGTTAAATTTGGCCTGATTGGCATTTATTGAGTTGGATACTAATTCCTTCAGGAGGTCAGAGAAGCTCCCCAGCAGCACCCCTGATCTTGACTTTGGAAGCCAGGTTAAGTATTTCAGGAAGACTACAGAAAAACCCCGAAGTCATGACTATTCTACATTGCCTAAAAGACAGCCTTTTGAGTAGCTGGGATTATAGGCATGTATCACCATGCCTGGATAATTTTTGTATTTTCAGTAGAGATGGGGTTTCACCATGTTGGCCAGGCTGGTCTCAAACTCCTGACCTCAGGTGATCTGCCTCCTCGTCTTCCCAGAGTGCTGGG